TTTCTAGAAAGTTTTATATCAAGGCCTACTATTCAAATTTGTGGTTGATAGATTCAAGGCTTTGAAGCATAGTTCGTGAAATATGCTTTAAAATGAAATCCGCTTCAGGTTTTCCAACATGAGGAGTAGTTTTTCACCATTAAATTTAATTAAGTTAAGTTTTCAGTAATAAAAGCTCACATTTTGGTATCCCTGTACAGTATTCTTTATTTTATTGCCAATCAGCTTATAATCAATGTTGCATGGTTGTTATCTAAACTCCGTTCAAACAGCCGTGGCACCTGAGGGATTAGGAGGCCCCAAGGGTTTCCATGGGGTCTCTTAATCCGTCAGGTGCCACGCCACGGCTGTTATAAGATATTTTTGATGTGTTGATTTTGTGTTAATGGTAATTTATTGTTAATAATACTTAACAGGGGGTTTCCGTGACTCGGAAAGTATTACAATTAGAGTGTATTAAAAGGGTCGATCCTGAGAAAAGTCAGTAGCTTTTTGATGGTTCGAAACTGGACCCAGCTGATCCTGATCATTGGGCTTTAAATAAATGATCCTGGCTAATGAAACAGCTGATCTTAGTCAGTAACAAAGCTACACAAATCATCACACACCATTCTACACTCATCCTGCACTCATATTTGGATTAAAATTGGCACCTATAGTTCGGCCGCTTAGAAAACGACCTGCGCGCTAATGCTAAACCAATGCTGGAGGAGGTCGCTTTCTAAGCGGCCGAACTGGTGGCGAGTCCATCTCAATGATTGATAATAATTGATAATCATAGGTTTTATGCCAAGATAGTTTTGAAGTTAAAGTTCCCATATGGGATTCCAGTACCTACAAAATAGGAAATTGGATGATTAGAAAATAAAAAAAACACCGTAGACCTAATACATTATCTATTTGATCTTGCGAAAATTCAACGTCGAGTCTTATTTTCGTCAAATTCTCAATCACTGACTCGTGATATCTATGCAGCAACGCATATCAGCTGATCGGCAAATTGAACAGAAAACTGGCCAAACTGGGATATAAGCTGTGTTTGTTGGTAGTTAATTATTTGGGTTACGTAAAAAAACACCCTGTATAACATTTGCTGATTAAGTTTTAAGTAACTACAACTTACTAATATAATCGTTACTACTTTCAAACCTTATTTCACGTACGTAGCCTTGTTTAATCATACTCATAATTTATTTACAAGTTGATCACATGTTATTCACTATGCAGGACGGCAAGTGGCGTCCACGTGCCGAACAATCAGCTGTACAATAATACAGTTAGTGTAATGGATCATGCTGTGGTGGCACTACTGCTCCAGCCACGTGTTGTGTGGTTGGTACCCCTGCTGGTCACGTGGCCTAGAGTACACCACATGTCGCTGTAGTGTTTGTTGTTTTTGGAGGTCTTTGAGCGTTGGACACTCTTAGCTTAGAGTTGAGAGCTAAACTATTACTGTATTGTTTAATTTGAGTTTTAGGTAAAGCATTAGCGAATTTTTTTATGTTAAAACAGTTTATTTTATCACTATAGTTGTGGACAGTTTATGGTGAACTAAGGGTCCTTGTTTTAAGACGCGTATTTTCCAACAACCAATGGAATACTTAGCTCAAGACAACGACTGAAACCCTTAGGCCATAGGCTATCCAGAACTATAGGACCTTAAAAGGTTTAAACACAAACTTTAGTTCCACGACCAAAGAAAACCTGAGACTAATCAAACTTTTATTGCTGGTAATGTTTTGCCGATTTCGAAACACTTTGTTATAAGTATTGATAGATTGAAATGTCTAAACAACGAATGATTACTCCGACATTTTAAACTGTTTTTGTCATATTTTAAACTGTTTTTGTCTTATTTGAAACTGTTGTAGATTTACATACAAAAAGTAAATAGCTAAAAGATGTCATGACTACTGTAGCTTAGGATCGATCATGATCTAAAACAAATAAATTAGCACAAACTTATAACTCAATAACTCCTTTATTCGACCAAAGTAACAAAAGCAGATTTGCATTGGTCATGTCAAACAAAATGCATCTTAACGTCTAAAAATTGAAATAAAACAATTGTTCTTAAATCTAACAAGATTAATGAATCACAAGCCTCCTCAAACTTACTAAACTCATCAGCGACACATTCACGGACACTGTAGCAACTCTTGGTCAGGAGTATTCTTTTTTACTTGCCTTTTGAAGCAGACCAAGTCCGGCTCCAGCTGAAGGCAGTGAGGAAGCAGATTGAAAAGTTTAATGCCGTTGTAATGGAAGTGTCTCTTAAAGAATGACGTTGAATGAGATGGTAATTTGAGATGTGAATCGTTATGTAGTGAATATGAATGAGTAGGTGAAGTTTGATATTGGTGAAGGTTCTTTTTGAACCTTGATCGTAATTTAAAATGTTAGATGGTAATAGAAATGATTATTGCATAGCTAATGGACTAAATTATCAAATAAACAAAAGGTTTTCCTCTCCTATATCTTTAGTTACCCAGGGTAACTAGCCTTAATGCATATTGTGTTCTCGCATTAAGGCTGGATGCGAGACAATATGATCATATTTATCCATTTGATAAAATGGATTATAACCATTATTGGTGATTGGAGAATTTATCATTTATTTACATTTCTGCTGCTATTATTATGTATAGATAGGTGCCTGCCACAAACCACCATAGAATTAGTAGCGCTAGAAATATTTATATTTGTTAAAAAGAAAAAAAAAGAAAAAAATGTAAATTTTGTTTGTTAAATTTTTGTGAATCAATTGGACCTCGCTGACAAGTTTTGTAAACCTGGCGAGGCCAAGATGTTGTATTATCACAAATAAATATATTTGAATTTGAATCCGAGTTTTGAAATCGCGCCGTGACATTCTCTAGACGCAACACCCGCAGTACACGCGTGGCTCTGTATTGCTAGACAACGCCGTTGTATCTATGTCAAGAAAGGTAGTTGCCAAATCAAAACAAGATTACACGTTCAAACATGCTCTTTTCATTACACTACTGTTAAATCACCTGTTTTACGTTATACTTTTATCACCTGCGAAAATTCATCATTACATTTTTTACTAGGAACATTATTGTTAACTATCTTTTAAGAATTTTGCCGACGTAAACATACAACGATTTGTTGTTTTTTGTCAACTGTTTCAATTTGCATTTTGCAACAAAACTGTACAATCCATGTAAATTTGAACCTAAAAAATTATATTAGTTTTTAAACGTTTCTAAACGTGACCAAAAATATTCCAACGTCTGGTTTTTATTAGTCTTTATGATGGAGCGAAAAGTAGGTTCAAAACACGAGTGTAAGTGGGTCATTAAATATTCTTGACCATATATATGCTTGATAAATCTCGCACTTTTAACATGTTGTTATGATGCTACTTAGTTGTTGTTTTCAAATAAGTAATGATTCACTTTCTACTCTTGTTACGAAATATACTATTCCATTATTGGCATTAAAGCTGTTTTAAGGCCAACAGAAAATCCACGCTATTGCACGATTATTTTGTAGAATAAAATGTATTTTTCCTACAGTCACCTGACAAAGTGGCCTTCCTTGCACTGATTATAGCACAGAAAGTTGCTAACCGCTGCATCTACCTACTTTTGCCGCACACCTTTTACTTTTTCCACAAAGCTATTTTTTGCCGCACACCAGTATTTCAACCAAACAACACAAAACAGCGTGCTTATATTAGGTACGATACGTGTACCCTTGAAAATAAGTTGGCAACACTAATTACGACAACGATCAGCTGGTGCAGCGTTTCCCATTTCGTTCAATGTAGGTATTTAACCTAACCTAAAAACGAGTTGTACAGTGTTTCAAAGACTAATTATTTGTTTTATAGTAGGCCTAACTGTAGGAAAAATATAATATGTGTTGCTGTCTTTGCCCACTAGTTACACAAATAACTAGTTTTTCATGACCATAAGCTATACTTGTTGTTACTCACCGGTCAGAAGAATACTGCCGCTGTCCTCAGTTGACTCCTTAGTTGACGACAGTTACTGATAGGCTATTGGGCTTTTGGTAATATGTGGCCAGTTCATATCATGTATAACATCCCTCCTTTCATAAAATAAACTTGAGACTGCTGGTAAGATTTTTGTTTCGTTGTAAATTAAATGCTGTCATAACCAATTTCTTCTTTCACAAATTAACACAAAATTCTCCCTTCAAAATAAACTTCTTTCAAAAAAATAAAACTCTTTCTTCACACAGAAAACAAAATAAAAATTCTTCTCGTAAATAATAAAATACTCTTCTTACAGGCCTAGGTATAGAATGTGTCTTCATAATAAAAACAGAACAAACTAAACAAATAAAAATTACTTCGTAGGCCTGTAGTACATGTCTTGCTTAGTGTTTGTATCGTTCTGGAGTCTTGACGTGACGTCCAGAACGTGTCACTCGTCTGTTAGGTGTATTAGTTTCCATATCGAGTGGTCTCATATCTTGGTCATGTAAAGTGTTGTCTACGATTGGAGCTGATTTCTTAGTGGGACTGTCAACTTGGGTCCTGTTGTCGTCTGCTACTCGGTCAGGTTCATTGTGTGTTAGGGCCGCCTTTGGTGCATTTAAGAATTCTCTGTTTCTTCTATACAACTTTCCACTAATATCTACCACGTACGACCTTGGTGATTTCTTCTCAACTATCTTTCCTGGAGACCACTTGGGATCACATTTTGTCGATTGCTTCACGTAAACTTCTTGGCCTATGTCTAAATCAGGCAATGTCTTGGAAGTTCTATCGTAATAAAATTTATATTTTCTCTTCTTTAGGCTAAGTTGGTCTTGGACTGAGCACTCTGCCCTTGGTACTAACAAGTTCTTCACTACTGGTATAAGCGTTCTGGTGCGACGAGACATCAAGCGTTGAACAGGACTTGAGTTGACTCCTTCTGTGGGAGTGTTGCGCCACTCTAATAAAGCCATCCATAGATCTTCTGAATTTCTTTCAGTCTTCTTAATTAAGTATTTTGCTATCTTTACAGCTGATTCAGCCTTGCCATTACCTCTCGGGTGATATGGCGACGATGTGGCGTGATTAAACTCCCATTCTTTTCAAATCTGTGAAAGTTAGCTGTTTGAAACTGAGCTTGAGAATTGTCAGTCACCACTGTTAAGGGGCAGCCGTGACGACTGAAGTTTTTCTTCGCAATTTCTACCGTAGTGGCTGATGTCAGATCAGGTAGTTTGTCCAATTCAAAGAAATCTGAGTAATAGTCTACTGTGACTAGATAATTGTCATTTTTGTGGTGAAATATGTCAAGCGCTACTCTCTTCCACGGTAGATCAGGGATTCTATGGGTCTGCATAGGTAAATGAGCAGGAGCGGGTGATAATTCCAAACAGGCCGAACACTCTTGAACTGTCAATTTAATGTCCTCCGACATATGTGGCCAAAATAACGTGAGCCTTGCCTTTCTGAGACTGGCATCAATGCCTTGATGACTCGAGTGTATCCTGTTTAACATTTCTCTTCGTAGGGATTTTGGCACTACTAAGCGTTCACCCCTAAAAATGAGTCCATCTTGAATACTAATTTCATCTCTGTATGTCCAATATTGTTTCACTTCATTTGGAAGGGCGTCTTTTGCCATTGGCCATCCATCTTGTATGATTTTTTTTCATTGCAACAAGCTCTTTGTCCTGGTTGGTGTGCTTTTTTATCTGATCAAGTCGATCTTTGGTGACATTTAAATGCTCCGTGGACGATATTTCTTCCAATCTGTTAAACATATTTTCCTCCTCTTGTATTTGGTGTACTTGCCATGATTCTAGGTCCTTTTCATCATTTCTCGTCATAGTTTGCGCAGCTCGTGACAGGGTGTCTGCCATATACATCTTGCTTCCTTTCTTGTAAACGAGGTCAACGTTGTACTTTTGTAGTTTAAGCATCATACATTGTAATCGCTTGGGTGCTGACAGAACAGACTTTTTGAAGATGTTCAGCAGAGGCTGGTGATCTGTCTCCACCGTTATGTCTTCTTTGCCACATATATACTGTCGAAAACGATTGCAAGCGAATAGGATGCTCAGGCATTCTTTTTCTATTTGAGCGTAGCGTCTCTCTGTTTGGCTCATTGTCCTAGATGCATAGGCCACTGGTTGGCCTAATTGGATTAAAGCACATCCGAGACCTGTGTCACTGGCGTCACATTGTAGCGTTACCGGTTTAGTGACATCATAATATCGTAATACCGGAGTTTTTGATAGCATATATTTAAGATTCTCGAAGGCATTCTTATGGGTAACATCCCATGTCCATGGCACGTCTTTTTGTGTCAGTTGTCGTAAGACTTCACACCGATCGGATAACGTAGGGACAAACTTAGCCAGATAGGTTACAAGTCCTAGAAATCTCTGCAGATCGGTCACATTTTTAGGTTGAGGTATCTTCTGAATGGCTAAAATTTTTGTATTGTCTGGTTTTAGACCGTTTTGAGTTAGTACATGACCCATATAGGCTAATTCTTTTTCTCGCAGTTTGAGCTTTTGTTTGTTTAACTTCAAGTTCGTTTGCCGAGCTCGTTCAAGTAAATGCTTCAGCTTTATATCATGGTCCATGACCGCTTCATCGTATGTGTCACCACACCCGTAGACCAGAATGTCATCTGCTATGACGTTGACGCCTTCTAAGCCGGATAATACTTCGTTGAGCCGTCTCTGAAATTCCTCTGCTGCCGGTGCTAAGCCAAACGGTAGGCGCAACCAACGGTAACGACCTTCAGGAGTCCAAAATGTGGTTAAGAAGCTCGATGGTTCATCTAACTCAACTTGCCAATAGCCATCTTTGGCATCTAAACTAGTAAATACTTTAGCTTTGGCTAAATTTGGTAGAATTTCTTCAATCGTTGGAATTTGGTAATGCGATCGTTTTAGAGCCATATTCAGATCTTTAGGGTCAATACAAATGCGTATCTTATCGTTACGAGTCACAACAACCATGCTGCTTATCCACTCTGATGGTTCTGCTACTTTTGTGATTACATTTTTTTCTTCCAATTCTAACAATTTAAGTTTTACTTTTTGTTTGAGTGCTATTGGTACTCTGCGAGGAGCATGTTTTATGGGAACAACATTACTATCTAATTCTAGATGGTATTTTCCTGGGAGTTTGCCTAGGCCTTCGAAAACATCATTAAACTCACTAAGAATGTCCGCTCTGTCCCAAGGCTTCATCGTTTCTTGCACGGAGCACAGATTCGCTTTAACTTCTATTAGGCCTAGTTTCGCACAAGATTCAGCTGAAATTAAGGGTTTTTGATAAGGGGACTTAACTATTTGAAAGACTAAGTTGTAAACCTTGTTGTCAATACCACATTGCAAGACTTGTTGCCCTACAGGTTCAATGACTTTGCCATCATAGCATTTGAGTTTGATTTGACTTGGCCTGAAATGAGGGCTGTGATCACAAATTAGTTTATTGTAATCCTCAACGTTAATCACATTACTGGAAGATCCAGTGTCTAACTGACATTTAAAAGTCCTAAATTTACCGTTACAACTTAGTTGTAACTCAGTGAACCATTGCTTCTTAGATTGATTGTGTACAGTAGGCCTACAAGGAATGCTACTACTGACTTGGAAAAGTGAAAACAAAGAATCTTCGCTATCATCATTACTTGATGGTTGTGATTCTTCACCAATAAAATGCAGTTGCTTGCGGTTATATTTAGATTTGGGCCTACTAGAGGTCTGCTGTCTGTTAAAGTTTGCGTTTGGTTTGAAATTAGCTCTGTTAAATTTACCTTGTTTGCATACAATAGAGAAATGGTTAAGTTTACCACAATTTTGACACGTCTTGCCAAATGCCGGACATAAAGATTTTTTCCATTGATGAAGGTTTCCGCAATAGATACAAGTCTTAGGTTTAGAATAACTTGAGTTGGTCCTACCTTGTGAGTAGACAGGCGATGTTTTATTCAATACCTCATCTTCGGTCTCGTTTTGGGTAATAATCCTCTTCAATTGTTTATTTGTAGCTTCATGCGCTTTACAAGTGTCAATGGCCGAGGTTAACGTAAGCTTAGAATCTCCCAGTAGCTTTTTGCGAAGGCTGACATCTGAAACACCTAAAACTAGACGATCACGTATGAGCTCAGACTCCAAGTTCTCATATTTGCATGAGGATGCTAGATGACGCAGCCTACAAACATATTGATCAATGCTTTCATACGCTTCTTGGTTGGCGGAGCCAAATATGAATCTTTCATACACAACGTTTTTGTCAGGTTGAAAATAGGCATCCAAAGCCTCTAAAATTCCTTGGGCAGAACTTTTTTTGTCATTATCTATGTCTAGCCTAGTAAAGATCTTTAAACAATCTTTGCCTATGATTGATAAGAGTGTGGCTACTTGCACCTCACGTGGCTTTTTATCTAAACCTGTAGCAATCGAATAGTTTTCATATTGCAATTTAAAATATATCCAATTTTCTACAACATTGTCACCTTTCACATCCACTTGTGAAGGTGGAGGTAGGCCTAGTGTTACTGCATTTGAGTCTAAGCCTAGGCCTAGGTTAGCATCTACATTTTTTACCTCAGGCTCTGTTGATTGTCCATCTTTTCCTGGTGGCATTGTTTAGAGATAATATTAAAGTAAATTTGAATACCATGTATACTTTTATCACGAAAATCTTGAGTAAAGTAAGTTATTTTTCTTGATGACTGTACGGGCTATGGCTACGACAATCTTGCCGGCTAATCGGTTGATAATGAATAACTGCACATATTTACAAGGTATATTACTTTAAACTGGATTAAAACAATAAAAATAACTTCTGGACTGAAAATAAACTAATATTAGACACTTCCGACAGTTAAAAATGTGAAAATTTGTATTTTTGCAAAACTTTGCAAACTTTTGCAGGTTTATGGTCACCGACGCGCACTGAATAATGGCGATGACGCTTGGTTTCTTTCCAGTCTCTTCTTCTATAAACAGGCTTGGGGCACCACCGCTGCCACCATGTTACTCACCGGTCAGAAGAATACTGCTGCTGTCCTCAGTTGACTCCTTAGTTGACGACAGTTACTGATAGGCTATTGGGCTTTTGGTAATATGTGGCCAGTTCATATCATGTATAACACTTGTCGGTCAAATAATTTCAAACAATTCTCTAGCGATGCAAACCACTGACTCCTGTTGCGTAGTTGATGGTCCATGCAGCTTCCCATGGTCCAAGCGTTGCTCCCCCGTCACCGCGGCGTCGGCGTCGGCGTCGGCATCCCTAGGGTCACATTACAGCGCCGGGACTCCATGGGAGTGAGCGACGCACTTGTTCTCACGGCAGACTGCTCTTAAACCCTACCATAAAACTAATGAGGTTGTGGGAAACAGTTTGGTGGAGAAGTCGGTTTTATGGGAGTTCGAATGTGTGGATAGCGTAACGCACTATGACTTCGGACACTGAAGCACTGAAGGACAACACTAGTTAGAATTAGCATGAATATATTTACAACTTTCAGCCTCTGCCATCTTGAAAATCTAGTTTTAGTAAAAAAGTTTGGAGAAACCATTGGAATAAGTAAATATCTTAAATCGAATCATTGAGCGCATTAAATGGTGTGGTCATTAGGGAAAATTGAAGATAATCTGTGCATTTTAAAGAATTACAAGGAAGAAAATGTGATACTTTAATACTTTTCAATTAAATGGTGACCATACAAAGTAGGTATTTAAAGCCAAGTATGAATGGAGATGAGCGTAGGATGAGTGGCGCGATCTTGTAGTCCTGTTAGTGACTAAGGCCGACATATTCCTTAGACACAGCTGTTAATCAATAGCCCATACAGCTAATGGAAACTAAGGGACCTACAATTTAGTGGAATCCGAACCACATTTTTGCCTTGATATACGAATTGGTCTAATTATCAGGAAAATACTGCGGATAGTCGTAGTACTCACTCGTGCGTACGTTAATCCACACCTTTCCTTGAAAAATGATAAAATATATATTTGGTAATTAATAAACAATCTAGTTTTTACTCTAGTTGTACATGTAAAAACTTCTTGGAAGATGCATACTATAGCCAATGGGGTATTGTTTTCGATTCGACATTTTGCATAGTTTGCTGTGTGAAGCAAGACAGAAGTTGATTTTAAGTAGATTATTCTTATGTTTTAATTTTCAGGAAAAGATTTAACTATAATTTAAGATCAAGATTTATGGCAAAGCCTTTTATAAATAACTTAATTCCCGAAATAAAATTCTCTAATATTGAATCTTGACGACATTGAGATATTTGCCTTTCGTCTATCGTGGCTGATGATGATTGGAGTGTCCAATTGAAATCTATCACCACTCAACATCTCTTTACATTATGTATTTACCGTAGTGGGTTAACAGAAATTATACGTTTAAAGTGTTATTAGACTATTTTAATACACTTTACATAAATTTAATAACACGTACAATTCTGATCAACTAGTCACATAAAGATTCACATTTTAATAAATAATATAAAAT